TTAAACATCAAGATATACAAGCCAAAGTACACGCAGAGATAGATGCAGTAGTTGGTGATCGAGAAATTCATCTTGCAGATAAAAACAGGTACCTACAAAGCTAAAGATTTAAATAATCAATCTAAATAATAGTTTGTCTTTTTTAAACAAAATTGGTAATTATACGCAGGTTGAATTATCTTGAAGCCGTATTAATGGAGGTTCAGAGACATAGTAACGTGGCGCCGTTAGCAATCGCTCACAGAACTATTAGAAAAACCAGCCTACAAGAATACAAAATACCAAAAGTATGATAGCGTTGTTGTTAAATATCTATATGTAAGTATTAGAAATAATAATTGTAAAATATTTTTTAGGATACATTGGTATTGGCCAGTATATGGAGCGTTCATATGGATGAACAGCATTGGGGTGATCCAAAGGTATTTCGACCAGAAAGATTTTTGGACAGTACAGGAAAAGTTATAAATGACAGTTGGTTTATGCCATTTGGTGTTGGTTAGTATATATTATAAATTTTTGCTATCGTAATTAATATTTAAACAAAATATTTAATGGATGGTTTTTAATTTTTAATCTGAAGGTAGACGAAGGTGTTTAGGCGAGATATTGGCTAAGACCAATATATTTATGTTTATCGCCAAATTAATTCAAAATTTTGAGATACGAATACCACACGGAGCCCAATTGCCAGATAAGCCTCAAGATGGTGTCACCATTTCTCCATCTCCATTTTCTGCTATTTTTATACCTAGACGTTGTATAAGTCAATAAAATTAAATTTGTATCACAGATAATTCACAATCTTGAAAAAAATCACAAATAAGTACTTACCATTATATGTATCATTATTAGGTATAAACCTATAATAATATGTACCACCTCTTTATAATTCCAGAGCACATTACACTACACAATGATATTTTAAAATTATCATAACTTTTAAAATATTTTATATCATATAGGTTATTCATATTATATTATACAGTCTAAATTTCATTATTATTTTAAGATACAAATTTAATTACTTACATACCCTATGTAGGTACCTAATATTTTTTATTTTATTGAAATATTAAAATGTATAATATGCTTATTTATTTTGACAATAAGATTAATATAAAGAAATAAGGATGATAATTATATGAACCTACGAAAGAATGATTAAATGAGGAAACAGGAAGAATGAATTAAGTTATAAAATACTGATTTAATAATGGAGATTTTGTAGCTTTTGTGTATGTCAGTGATATCGAGGGGTTGACATGTTATATTTAAGTATTTATTTATAAGTAGGTATTGTTAATAGAGTACTTTTCATTCGATTCATATAATTAACGCATATAATATGTAGACAATCAAATAAATTCTATACCTAATACTTATTTTATATTAATATAGGTTTATTTAATTTTAATTATACAACGACGAATGACCTTACATTCTTTTAGAAAATTGATTTATATAATCTATTAATAATAATTAAGAACTCATACCTATTATAGTAGTTACCTACCTATTATATAATATAAATGAATCAAATACAAAATAAATAGTTCAATAAATATTGTTATTGTTGTGTGTACGAGAATATTAATTTTTATTGGTAGGTACCTACCTAATTCTAAGTGACTGTTATTATTTGGTCACTTGAGTTACAACTTACGAGTATCTACATCCTAAAGATTTTCTGGAATKGGGGCAAATTAATTATGGGCCCATGAATCATCATAATATAATGAAATATAGTCACAACTCACCGAATTTTGCAGAATATTAACAAATTTGATAGACCATTTACATT